TGTGAGAGGGTGACATTGTGTGTGGGCTGCTAACAGTGTGTTTGTGGGAAGGTGACAGTGTGTGTGTATGGGTGATAGTGTGTGTGTGTGTCATGACAGTGTGTGGGGGTGGTGACAGTGTATGTGAGGGGTGACAGTGTGTATGGAGAGTGACAGTGTGTGTGTGTGTGTTGACATTGTGTGGGGGTAAAAGTGTGTGTGAGGGTGTTACAAACTGCCATTTGTAACTGTCCCTTTAAATGACAAATTGCCCTGCTTCCCTGGGTTGTGGAGAAGACTATTTGCCAGCCTCCTTCCTCATGACTATGGCCCCTGGGAGATTTTGCCCCTGAAAACGTATGGACTTTTATTGGGTGTGTATGGCCCTTTAAGAACCGTCTGGGGACATATTGTGACTTTGGTGAACAATGCCCCTTTAAGACTATGTCCCCAGACCTGTAAAATAACTTGTTCCTTTTTTCTCCCACTTGGTTCAGTAAATGGAGCTTACTGAACCAAGTACCACACAGGCGGACCACCCAGAAGTGGAAGTGTGCCGGCAATTTACCTCCCAGGCTGGGAGCCTGCTGTAGGTAAATTGACGAACGCTGGGTGGCCGCCGTTCGCGCAAACGAACATGTGGTGGCGCCATCTTTGTTTATTCAGATACGGTCAGCAGTGTGTACAGCCAAATTCATGGAACTAAAATCGGCTGCACATTTCCGTGAACACCGCTGACCTGTACCTTCTCCCATACTGAACTTTCAGCCGCAGAGACTCGGCGATGGGACTTAGTCGTTTTTTCTATGGAACTGTTTTGGGCAGGAAAATGTGCTTGCGGTCAGTCATAAAGGACTTCCGTCTAACTTTTTATTCACTGCATGGATTTGTCTGATTTTTGGTTATGTTTATATTTAAAGTGTGCTGATTATTAATATGTAAGTTTTCTGAAGATTGGATGTGTGGTTTTAAAGTTACAGTGTATGTGTAAAAACTGTATTCTTCCTGCCTGTGGGAGCATTTTGTATGTAAGTGCTGGGAGTGGTTTCTGTAATGTACGTTTGTTATTGGCTGTTCTGTAAAACCCTGTGGGTGGTCCTATCCAAGGGAAACCTGCATAAAAGAAGGCCCTTTGGGTGCCTATAATCACTACAGGGATTGCTATGCTCTTCATACTCCCTTAGCCACTGAGCTCTTGTAAGAGCTCTTGTTCCTGACCCTGCTTCGCTCTACAGAAGGAAGAGGTTTACCTATTGGAACCTGGAGCCTGGTCGTAGGTCCTGGGTGGATAGCAGCCGGCGAGATCCTAGCCCAGTAGTTATGGTGTCTATGGTGCTGATGGTCCTTTGGTGAGCGCTAGGAGCATCCTTTCTACGGTCCAACTTCCAGCCAGCCTGGAGGCCACCGTAACAGAGGGGTGACAGTGTGTGTGGGGTGCTAACAGTGTTTTTGTGGGGAGGTGACAGTGTTTGTGTGTGTGTGTGTGTGTGATAGTGTGTGTCGTGACAGTGTATGAGTGGGGGTGACAGTGTGTGTGTGTGGTGACATTGTGTTTTTGAGGGTGACAGTGTGTATGTGGGGGGTGACAGTGTGTGTGGGAGTGACAGTATGTGTGTGGATGTGTGTGTAAGGGTGGTGACAGTGTGTGGGGGGGGCTGGCAGTGTTTTTGTGGGGAAGTGACAGTGTGTGTGTAGGTGATAGTGTGTATGTCATGACAGTGTATATGTGGGGGTGACAGTGTGGTGACATTTTGTGTTTGACGGTAACAGTGTGTATGTGGGGGGTGACAGTGTGTGTGTGTGCGTGACTGTCAGTGTTTTTCGTTGGTGACAGTGTGTGTGGGTGGCTGACAGTGTGTGTTGGGGTGAAAATATGTGTGAGGGGGTGACGGTGTGTGTGTGGGTGATGGTGTGTTTGTGGGGAGGTGACAGTGTGTGTGGGTGATAGTATGTGTGTCGGGGAGTGACGGTGTATGTGTGGGAGTGACAGTGTTTTTTTGGGTGGTGACAGTGTGTGTGGACGGTGATAATGCGTGTGTATGTGGTGACATTGTGTGGGGGACTGACAGTGTGTGTGTGAGGAGTTGACAGTGTGTGTGGGGGTGGCTGACAGTGTGTGGGGGTAACAGTGTGTGTGAGTGTCTGACAGTGTGTGTTGAGGTGATGACAGTGTGTGTGTGGATAGGGATGGCTGACAGTGTGTGTGTGGATAGGGATGGCTGACAGTGTGTGTGTAAGTGACAGTGCATGTGGGGGATGGCAGTGTGTGTGGGTGGCTGACAGTGTGTGTGGGGGGGTGACAGTGTGTGTGTGTGTTGATTACCGTGTGTGTGTGGGTGGCTGACAGTGTGTGTGATTGTGGGGAGGTGAAATATCTTTTTTATCTGGTAATCAATTTCCTGGTGGTCCAGTGATCTCCCTCCCAGATGATTCGACGGATTTGCTATCTATTATGAAGTTCTGGAGGGTACAGAGCTGCAGACCATGTAGCAAATGTCTCGCAACTTCTGCCACTTGAAGTGTTGTAACCTGTGGCTGCACCCCGAATGGGTACCTCCGTTTGACGGATGCTCCTAACTCTTCCTGAGGGCTCCAAGCACTCCAGTAGACCCTATGAACCGCCGCAGCTTGGTTGAGGTCTCGCCGTCTCCTTCCAACCCTAGACCTCCGACAAGGCTCCAGGTTCCAGTGGGTGAACCTCTCTTCCAAGAGAGGGAAGCAGGAACAAGCTCTTAAAAGAGCTTAGAAGTGGGAGCATGCAGAGCATAGCAAACCCTTATAGTGATATAGCAATTCCCCTAATAAGAGACAGGACTCTAGATTGAGGGTGAAGTAGAACTGACTTTACTTGGCACCAAAGGGCCTTCTTTTATGCAGGTTTCACACATACAGGACCGCCCACAGGATTTTGCAGAACAACCAATAAACACGTAGTATACAGTACAAGCACTCCCATCAATTACACACAAACCCTCTCCTCTGATATAATTACTGAACACAATGGGTTAAGGTAATTATCACAGGCAGGAAAAATATACTTTTTGCACATGTACTATAACTTTAAAACCACACACCCAATCTTCACATTTTCAGAACCAGCATACTTTAAATATAAACATAACCAAAATTCAGCCAAATCCGTCTAGTACTTAAAAAGTTAGCTGGAAGTCCTTTATGACCGACCACAAGCACATTTTCATGCCCAAAACAGTCCCATGGATTTGGGCTGTGCGGTCGGTCTATTTTACACTGAAAAAAATGACTAAGTCCCATTCGAATGAGACTTAGTCTCCAGCCGCAGTGTCGAAGTGGAGGAGTAGATACGGGTCAGCGGTGTTCGTGCAATTGGGTAGCCGAAAACAGTTTGTAGTGGAGTAGTAGTATTATCCACAGTATCTCCGCTGGTAGACAGAATCAAACAGGCACAAAGCAGGTAAAATCCAGGTAGCGTAATTACAATCCCTTCCTCCCAAGAACTAGATGACACATAGCTTGGAGGTCAACTGAGGTTTATTTTCAGGTCACAGTATTTATGGGATTCCCCATGCAAAGGGTTTCCCCACTGACATTTCAGGGGTTGTACAGTAGGGGACTACATGGGGAACTGACCAACACACACAATTTTCCCATCATACACTGCTGGACGAGAGGGATACTCCCACTGGAATACTGTATACCGTTAATGGGATTATCCCTCCGTGCAACAGAACTCACATTTTACATTAAAATACATAACTTTAACAATATTCACTAGTTTTACACGAATGGAAGTTCGGTAGATAGCTGGATGCTGAGCGCATCGTTCGTGAGAATACCGCTCAGCTCCCAGTCTAACTAACCGAACGCCATACGAAATACACATAATTTCTAACATAGGTTTTAAACTACCGATTATCGTAAGGGGAATAAACTACCGAATGGTCGATGTTCCCGAACGGCCTGGAAGTCCAGCGGTGTTCGCACCGTTGAGTAGCCGTTTTTAGTTCCAGGCGCTCAACGACAAAACACCGCCGGGCTAACAAAAGAAACAAGATGGCCGACCGCTGCGTGGTCGGTATTCGAACGACGGCCACCTAGAAACACTCTTAATTACAGATTGCAACATTGTTGCAATCGGTTAATGGGTGCCACACGACCCCCTGTGTGTGGTCGTGCGTTCGGTATGTTATTCGTTTCACGAACAGTGTTTAACTCACTGTTCGTGAAACTTCATTATGAATGCTGGGGTTTTCATACTGCCAGCATACGAATGCCCTCATTCGCCTGAAATACAAATAGCATTGATTTTTATGCCTTAGCAACAATACACACATCCTTATACATTGATAGTCTCTGGTGGCTAGTTTTGCCACACAGTTCCATAGATTTGGCTGCACACACCGCTGACCATGTTCGAATGAGTTAAAATGGCCACCGCCACATGTTCGTTTGTCGAATGGCGACCACTTCGACTACTTTGGCACTTCGGCTGTATCCGAAGTGCCCATTTCAAGTTGCAACACTGCTCCAAAGTAATTAAAGGGCGAGAAACAGCATTATAAAAATCCATTATGCCCAAATCAGTTCCTTAAAGGGCAATACGTCTCAGGGCCATAGTCGCAAGGCAGGAGGCTGGCAAACAGGTCCCTCCAAGAACCAGTGGCGAGGTCACTTTCGCCACAGTGGCAATGCTCTGATTGGCCATGCTCGCAAGATCTCTACCACACCATCTGCAGCTCTGGCACCCTGTTTACCCACCCTGGATTGGCCCTGCACACAAATATAATAAAGTTATAGTAAAGTTACTATAAGTTACTACACAATGCACATTCACGAATCCTTGTGTTATATGCAAATACTGCCATGTAAAAAAAAATGTGCTCTGGGCCAGTTTCAGCTGTAAAATGTATTATCTCTCTAATTCTGGGCTAAAATTAAAAAAGCACAACTTCTTAATATATGTTTTATATTTATCAGATTATTATTATTATTATTATTATTATTATTTTCAATATCCAGATAATACTGTACTTTCCAGGGGGAGCAGTAACAGTGATATAGAAAGGGTAGTAGATACCTGGAATAGCCTTCCAGTGGGAGCAGTAACAGTGATATAGAAAGAGTAGTAGATACCTGGAATAGCCTTCCAGTGGGAGCAGTAACAGTGATATAGAAACGGTAGTAGATACCTGGAATAGCCTTCCAGTGGGAGCAGTAACAGTGATATAGAAAGGGTAGTAGATACCTGGAACAGCCTTCCAGTGGGAGCAGTAACAGTGCTATGGAAAGGGTAGTAGATACCTGGAACAGCCTTACAGTGGGATCAGTAACAGTGATATAGAAAGGGTAGTAGATACCTGGAATAGCCTTCCAGTGGGAGCAGTAACAGTGATATAGAAAGGGTAGTAGATACATGGAATAGCCTTCCAGTGGGAGCAGTAACAGTGATATAGAAAAGGTAGTAGATACCTGGAATAGCCTTCCAGTGGGAGCAGTAACAGTGATATAGAAAGGGTAGTAGATACCTGGAATAGCCTTCCAGTGGGAGCAGTAACAGTGATATAGAAAGGGTAGTAGATACATGGAATAGCCTTCCAGTGGGAGCAGTAACAGTGATATAGAAAGGGTAGTAGATACCTGGAATAGCCTTCCAGTGGGAGCAGTAACAGTGATATAGAAAGGGTAGTAGATACCTGGAATAGCCTTCCAGTGGGAGCAGTAACAGTGATATAGAAAGGGTAGTAGATACCTGGAATAGCCTTCCAATGGGAGCAGTAACAGTGATATAGAAAGGGTAGTAGATACCTGGAATAGCCTTCCAGTGGGAGCAGTAACAGTGATATAGAAAGGGTAGTAGATACCAGGAATAACCTTCCAGTGGGGGCAGTAACAGTGATATAGAAAGGGTAGTAGATACCTGGAATAACCTACCAGTGGGAACAGTAATGGCTAATAGTGATATATAGGGTAGTAGATACCTGGAACAGCCTTCCATGCTGAAAGAATAGAGTGCAAACTGAACAGGGATCAAGTATGAACAAGAAAAGGTTAAAGGTGTGAAATGGAAGGTGGGGAGCTAATGTATGATTAATATATTCTGCAGGGCTGTACAATTGGGTAAAAGACAGTGTACTATACAGAGAAGAACACAGAAGGTTAAAGAGGCTCCGCAAGGAGCTGAGATCTATAATTGCCCTTATAAATAGACTGTGAATAACCAGCCTGTGAGCTTACAGTCTAATCGTTTTACTGGGGAGATGAAATGAGAGGTGGTAGGGCAGTTAGAAGGTGATGGCCAGAGAGAAGTACATTAGCAGCCACCAGTAAGATGTAAATGGATAAACTGGAAGGTGAGCGAATTAAGGTATGTGGTGAAGGATATGACGTGGAAGGTAGGTAGCTTGATTTATGTACTAGTAGATGGTGGGTAGAGAATGGACACATAGGAAATGGTTACTAGAAGAAAAGGTGCAGTACACGTGGCAGGGTAAGCATTACAAGTAGCTGAAGATGCCCACCTATTATATGTACATGTATGTACGTAGTGGGCGTTGGATAGCATTCCCCTCATTGCCCCATTAAAAAAACAGAACTTACCCCTTCAAATAACGACAGACAACTTCTTGGAGAAAACAGGCCACAGCATTTATTAACATCACCAAATACTATATAACTCCTTAAACATATAACATAATAAATTAATAAATTAACATTGTGACAATCCATCTGTATAACCTGGGATTCCTGGTTCGTCTGTTTTCCCTTTTCGTGAAATTACGTGAAATTACCCGTGCGTATGCCCCTGTTCAGTGAATTGACTTTTCCGCCGAACAAAACTACCGAACGGACGGCCACCCAGAAGAGACGTGTGCTGCTGGTTAACCTCTTGATCCCAATTAGAACGTTGTGGTTAACCGCAGACACTTAATTAAAACCGAATACAGGGTGGTCATCGTTCGTATGTCGACCACGAGGCAGCGGCCATTTTAAACCATGCGAAAGACCAGCGGTGTTCGGCATGGATTTCATGGAACTGAAAACTGACCCTTTTTCTGCCGAACACCGCTGAAGCCGCCAACCTCCCTTCTCAATCGACAGAAGTATACGAACACCGGCCGTTCGGGAGTTTTATACGCACGAATGGACTTACCCCTGATAGCCTTCCCATGGCATCAAACGCATATAGAAAGACTGTAACAGACTTTGACTCCATGGCGATTGAACTATACGTATGGGATCTGAGCGCTATTTGCCAATAATATGCACTCAGATCCAGGCTATCTGGGGATATGTGATACGAATGGGTAACATTTGACAAATGTAAAGTTATATATTTTCATATGTTTTTCTGTGTTTAATTTAAAATGGCGATTTGCCATGATTGAATTACTTCTCAATTATCTCCAGGGCAGAGGGGAGGAAATACTAATGCATGCTGGGAATATTCTGTGTCTGTGGGTCCTAACCTGCCATATGTCTGTCTATTGTTACAGTCTCCCAACGAGTGTCCACCAAGTGGGAGACCTGCATAAATACGGGCAGGTAGCCCACAGTAAAGCCAGTTCATGTTTTACCCCCAATGTGGAGCTTGGTCTCGTTATTGGGGGGATTTATTACCGATGGCTAGAGACTGCCGGATGGGATTATTAGCCGCTTGGGAGATATATGCGTTCGGCTACTATTGGCGATTCGTGAGTTTGGAGCTCGTGAAGTGAAGTGCCCGTACGGATCCCGTTCGTGAGTTTACAGCGTTCCCCTGCTTGCAGTTCGTATGATGGTACTTGATACGCATGCAGCCTATGTTATTGCGAGAGGGGAGGATTCACTAAACGGCGATTTGTGCATCTGATGCTGAGGGTACCGTAACAAACATAAACACTTTTTATACAGTCATACAGTAATCAAGAAGCCGTCCTTGCCAATCTAACTTCCCCAAGGCTCTCACCTCCCCCCCTCGGCATAATAAAACCTCATCCTTTTCAGGGCTCCCCACCAGCCGGTTTTCCGCTCGGTGGGGCCCAATCATAATGCTCCCCACCGGTCGACTTTCAACCCAGTGGGGACACGTCCAACTTCCTCCAGGTTCACTATAAGAGACAGGGGGAGGATGAGACGCGGCCATTAAGATGGAGCCAAAATCTACCATCCCTTATTTGGCAAGGACATGCCCCCGCCTCGCTGTGACAACCTCCCTGGCCCAAAGCAGCAAAGGGAGGGTGGGCGGGGAAACTTGTTGCTGGCCCGGCTCCTAAGTGGCAGGTCAGTCTGATCTGTCACCACCCACTTCCTCACATCTCACACTAGCACACGTAGCACATAGCCAATCATGCACCATCCATCCCACATTAATACATGTGCCCCTGTCCGCTAAGCTGCGCACTCTCCCTGGGGCCTATATAATTCTTCCCTCTTGGCACAATGCGGTTGTCCGTAGTATAATGTTCATTACAGCCGGAGTCGCTTCCTCCATTTCCAGACCAGCAATGTATGTGCCACTCCCTTAAAGAGATTGACCCGTGACCCATCATATACTGGCAGCACTGGCCATGGTCGCTAGCCCATCCTGAGAAGGTGGTTCACACAGTCCCACATGGCAGCCATCATTCAACTGATGTAAACTGACAAAATAAAAGCAATTCTAGCGGCTGGCCACCATACTCATTTATTCTCGGGGTGTAGTGCGCCATCTGTTGTTTACGGGAAACTATGCTGAGAAGGACATTTATTTGTCCCGATATGAAGGTAAAATGATGATATAGGCTTCCTCCTGTAAATGTCTATATGGAGTGTTTTGTCTTTTATCTTATAATGCTTTAGTGGTGCCCAGTAAATTAAACTCGATCTGGATGATTTAATTCCTTTCTGTCGGTGTTCATCCAGTGCCACGCCTTTCATTTGCCGCATACCATCACCTTAAAGGACATTAAACTTTTGGGTTCCAAAAGCTTCCGTCTCCTCATTAGCTAAGTGGCTTTCTGGATCTCTCCCAAATGACACAGCCTTCTTCATTCTTCTCTTCCAAATAATCTTTCATCTCCTGACATTGGTGGACATATATCAACGTTCTGCCAGTCTAATAAGAGCTACGTTGGCCTTATCGATCCATCATTTTTGGCCATAATAACTGCGTCAATGTCTACTCAGATTTTATTCTTAACCCTTTCACTGCCAGAGAGATGATTGTCAACTCTCTCTGTCATTGCAAGGGTTAAAGATTTTGTCCCTGCATAGTGGATAACATTTTATAATGAATCAGATTTTAATGGACAATGTTTGCTGGTGACATTTCACAGCTAAATGTTGCATTTCTTCTGTAATCAGTTCAGTTGTGACATGATAGATCATGGACAGCATCGAGTTATAGTCTGGTGATGTCACTGCTCTGACTTAATTTTGATCATACCTGTCGATCTTCCCTGCAGATCTATCGGGATGCAGGTGGGTAAGAAAGAGAACAGGCTTTGGAGGGCAGTGTGCCTGTCAAATGGCAGGTCCGCCACTAAAGAGGGTATTTAGGGCTGACTGACAGCCTGCCCCCTTGAGTCAGACCTTGCTCGGAGTATTGCTGAAGTACTGTGTAAATGGTTCTGTTGCTCAGTCCCTTTCTACATCCTGAAATCTGCTGGCAGATTGCGAAATGTGAGACAGGACCCGAGGATCTATACTTGCTGGGAAAGTACCCCCAAACATAGGAATGTCTTGGTAATTCAGGATTTTTGGTGCATATTGAGTTGCAGAGTGTGAGCATGAGTAGCATGGGATTCTGGGAGGGAGGAGAAGTTACTTGATATGAGTGTCTCTTCTCAGTGAGGAGTTCAGATGGGATCCCCACTGAAGAGACACACTCACGTTTGGAAACACCATAGACAGCAGACGTTGTGTTTCCAGATAATGTTTTCAGATCCTCGACTGTTTGTCCAACTGAAAATACTGTTATATTGTCTAAATGACAGAAGGGGCAATACATTGTAATTTGCATTTTTAAAAGCACCTCAGTTTTAGTAAGTGCCCATTTGTCGTTTTATTACATTAAACATCATTATCCTATGATCTGTCTATTCCTATTTTCTTTTAACCCATGAATAAGTTGATACGCTTATACTTGGATTTATATAAACTGATCAGCCACAACATTAAAACCACTGACAGGTGAAGTGAATAACATTTATTATTTGTTACACCGGTCAAGGGCAGCAAGTGAGCAGTCAGTTATTGAATTTTATTTGTTGGAAACAGGAAACAATGGGCAATTAAAACGATCTGAGTGAGTCAAATAGTGAAGGCTAGACAATTGGGTCA